GTACTTATACTCTTAATCTTGATATAATTATTATTAGTTGTGTACATTATTATTATTTTGATTTATTAAAAGGCGAGATTCTTTCGTGGGTCAATATGCCTAGTAAATTGAATAATAATAATGTACATTGGCGAAATAATAGTTAGTTGATGGAATCCATGTCTCGGTTTAGAGATTGATAATACACCTTTATGAAAGCTTATAAGTTTTCATGTGTAAACCCGACTGGNAAGATTTAATAGATGAATTTTGAAATTGAATAAGGAGTGCAATTACGAATTTTTAGTGGAATAATTCGTAATTAATTATGGTGGATATTAATTTAGAAAATTACAAATTAATTCCATAATTGAAAACCTTGTTAATTAAATTATGTGGTCCCAACTGTACCTAAATAATAGGAAATAAAGGAATCCTTTTTCTGGGGGAAAAGAAAACCCAACAGGTTTTGGAAAAGAGTTTTAACCCTTAAAACTTGTGCTATAAATACATAAGGTTTTCCACCTAGAGGAGTGAGCACATGGTGGCCGAATTTCAGCCCATTTTCCTTAGAAAATTTCGCCCACACGAAATTGCTATTTTCGGGTATTATTTGGGTAACACAGTAGAAAACTGTGGAACGTTCGGAGACCGTGATCGTGCGGGTGGTGGAGAATTCATTGAGTTACTGTAGAATTGAAAGCTCACATGATAAAGGAGCTTTGTTCACGCTTCAAGAGGTAACCCGTGAAATCCCGTTTATGCTAGTTGTCTAGATTACATGTGATTTGTTACTGGGATTGCTTCCGCTGCTTATTAAAATCCATCAACTACAATAGGAAAACTACACCTAGATGCTTGATAACAATTGATTTGAGGAAAGCATATGACATGGTCACTTGGGATTTCCTGATAGAGGTACTTCGTGGACTAGGCTTCCCCAACAAAGTTCATCATGTTGATAATGAACTGTGTGTCAATCACTAAGTTCTCTGTAAATGTGAATGGGGAGAGCCATGGCTACTTTGAAGGTAGAAGGGGTCTAAGATAGGGTGACCTTTTGTCACCACTATTATTTATTCTTATAATGGAGTACTTGTCAAAGGTGTTTAAAAGAATGGGAAGTCTGACTGACTTTAAAATGCATCTAATGTGTAAGAAGTTGAAACTCACGTACTTGATATTTGCGGATGATTTAATAGTATTCTGCAAGGGTGAGGTGGGGTCTGTGAAAAGAGTGGTTGAGGCTTTAACACACTTTAGCAAGGTCTTAGGACTAGTTGCTAACATGGACAAATCTAGTTTGTTCATGGCAAGGATAACTGAGGAGGAAAAACAAGAGCTGTTGAATATTACAGGCTTCAGTGAAGGATCATTTCCTATTAGATACTTTAGACTTCTTTTATCACCTAAAAGTGGAGTAAATTAGAATGCCATCAGTTGATTGCCAAAATTACTTGCAGAGTCAAATTTGGCTACTCTAAGAAGCTTTCATATGCTGGCAGACTTCAAGTGATCAACTCTATTATATTTTCTATTCACAGCTTCTCGGGATCAATTTTCATTCTCCCACAGAGTGTAGTAAAAGAAGTGGATAGAGTTTGCAAAGATTTTCTATGGGGAGGTACATAGGAGAAGAGGAAAATATCACTAGTAGCTTAGGATAAAGTCTGTTTATCAAAAAGCTGTGGAGGTTTGAACATCAAAAAGTGTAAGAAGTGGAATAAGGCCCTAGTTGGGAAGTTGATTTGGCAGCTTATTGTGAAAAAGGACAGCTTATGGGTGAAATGGGTGCATGTATTATATATAAAAGCAGATTCAAGCTTTTAGAATCACACAGCTCCTCGGGACAGCAACTGCTATTGGAGAAAGTTAAATCACTTGAAGCAGGAAATGCAAAACTGGTAAGATCAGTACATATTAAGCCACTCTGGACAATACTCAATTACAAAGAGTTACCTAGCCATTATTAAAGATCATAGGAAACTAGATACTACAGACTTTATTTGGAATGCAATTGCTCAGCCTAAACACAGATTTATCACCTGGTTGGCCTATCAAAACAGGATGCTAACAAGGGAGAGATTACAACAGTTGCACATCCCAGTCAATGACACCAATTGTTGCACGTGCAATGATCAGGTTAATGAGATTGTCCAATACTTGTTTATGGAATGTAGTTGGTCTAAGGAAGTGAGATCAACAATAATGCACTGGGCTGGTATTGAATTAGCTGGAGGTGATGTAGCCCTGGTTCTAAAGAGTATAAAGAAGGAGAAATGGAAGCAATTAAAAAAATAGGTATTTGGAGCTATGCTGGAAGCAGTCATCTACCACACTTGGAAAGGTAGGAATTGGAAAAATTTTAGAGGAACAAATGTAAATACTGAAGCTATAGTAGTATAGATTAAAAAAGAAGTAATAGATAGGCAAGAAGTAAGTGGGAACTCCAGGAAAGCAAGAAAATGTAGAGGCTTTTTGCAGGCAATAGCTGTGTAGTTCAGATATGTTAAGGTCATTCTCGCAGGTTATTGTGAGGAGGTGTTCGTTAGTTTATAACTGTGTTGATTGATTAATGGTAATTTACAATGTTACCAAAAAAAAATATAATGAGGAGATTAATTCTTGTTATTCGAGCAACCAAACAAGGTAGTATTTAGTTATACTAAATTTAATTAGGAGATTAATTCTCCAATTCAAGCAACCAAACATACTCTAATTACAACAACAAGATCATATTTAGTGTATTTACTAACTGAATTTAAGACGATAGTGTGTACGCAGACCTTACCCTTACCCTTACTCTACGCCGATGCAAGTGAAACTTTAATACCTTCTTCTCTTTGTAATTTTAGATACAAATGCACTATTTTGTAAAGATTGGTAAAACCAATCTATTTACCAAATATTAAAAAAATTAACTATCAAACACAAACTCCTTGAAATTACTTTTAAAAATAAAAAAAAACTATTTTAACATCAAAATTATGCGTTTTTCGGTTTTGGCCACGGAGAGGCTGAATATTAGACATAGCAGTGACATCTGTTGTAATTACCACTCCTCTGCCATGGATATGGATAACATACCTCCACTGTTAATCCTCGAAATCCTCAGCCGACTAGCTGACTCAACAGACCTAGCTCGTTGCCGAGTCGCCTCGAAAACCCTCAACGCACTCTCTCGCGATGCCCGATCCATCAATCTCAATTGCTCCTTCGATCGTTACACCAAGTCCCGATCTCCTGACATACGGGATTCCATTACACCCTTCAAGCGAATCTTCAATAAACTGATTTCTGAATTGAGCATTGTGGAGGCCATTTCCATTGGGGTCGAGAAACCTTTCGAAACGGTGCATACGACACCGTTAGGATATGTGAATGATTCGCACTTGACGGATGTTAATTTTGTTGCCCACTGGTTGCCTAAGGTTAACGAAAAGTTGAGAGCTCTTTCCATATCGGACTTTTGGGTTCAATCTTGTTGGCGACCATCAAATGTCCTTGCTCTTATCTCTTCCCATTGTGAGTTCCTCTCTCAACAAACTTATCTGCATAAGAACACATAACCATTTACATATATAATACTCTCTCCGTTCCCATTTATGTGACAGGTGATGGGATTTCTAGAGGCAATTTTTTCATATGCCTTTAAATATTTTGAATTATTAATTATTTTGACTTATAGTAGTACTCTTTATATAGTTCCAGTAAACACGGAGAAGTGAAGGATGAGCAGAGCTCGAGCTTGGGCTCCAATGGTGGAACCCTAGAAGGTTCTCGATGAGAGAGAAGAGTGAAAGATTTTGTTTTTGTGAGAAATGAACTAACTGAGATGTATTAACTGTCAAATGAATACATATATACAAGAGAGACACGTGAGACTTCTAGATGTCTAATACTAACACAACTAATGTAACTAACACTAACTCAATGAATTGACTACTCAAACTAACAGATAAGCCAAGCTTACATGTAATTAATACAATATCTCAATACCCCCTTCAAGTTGGAAGTGAGGTTGTCGCTGCCAACTTTCTCATAACTGCTGCATGCTTGACTCCAGTAAGGGCCTTGGTTAAGACATCAACTAACTGGCAATCAGTCCCAACATGATGAAGAGACACCAGGCCTTCCTGCAGTTTGTCTCTTACAAAGTGACAATGGACTTCAATGTGTTTGGTTCGTTCGTGAAAAAAACTAGATTTCTAGCTATGTGTAGGGCATATTGGCTTTCACAAAATACTGGGACAACTTAGGAAAAGGAACTGTCAGCTCATCAAATAATCTGCACAACCAAGCAAGTTCTTAGGGCTCTATACTCTGCTTCAGCAAAGGATAGGGATATGGTGGCTTGTTTCTTGGACTTCCAGCTGATTGGACTATCACCAAGACTTCTAGAGTTTGGACAAGCTGCCCAGTCAGAGTCATAATACCCTCTGACAATACAATCAGAATTGGCAGACATGAAGATCCCAAGGGTAGGATCAGTCTTCAAATATCTAAGCAAATGATAAGCAGCCTTCAAGTGAGGTTCCCTAGGATCTTGCATGAATTGACTAAGGTGTTGCACACTGTATGCAATATCCAGTTTTGTATTTGTGAGGAAGTTCAGTTTGCCTATTAGGGTCTTGTAGATAGAGGGATCTGTTAGGGGCACACCTTCCTTAGCTTTGAGTTTGACACTAGGATCCAATGGTCAACTGAAAGTACTACAATGGAGGCACTCGTACTCCTTTGGTAGATCAAGTGCAAACTTCCTTTCGGAGATTATGGCACCATCTTCCCTGTAGAGAACCTCCAAACCTAGGAAATAGTGCAGTCTTCCCAAGTCCTTGATTCTAAATTGAGCATGCAGAAAGTTTTTCAACAATGTGATCTCCTTTGAATTGTTCCCAATAATGATTACATCATCTACATAAACAGCAACATAGATGATGGAAGAGTCAGTCTTCTTGTACAACAGAGAATAGTCGTTAAGGGAGTGAACATATCCTTTGGAGCATAGAGCCTCAGCTAGTTTAGCATACCACTGTCGCTTGGCCTGTTTCAAGCCATATAATGATTTATTCAGCTTGCACACCAGTTCAGGTGCATCAACCAATAAGCCAGGAGGCAAATCCATGTACACTTCATCATGGAGATTCCCATGAAGGAAGGCATTATTTACATCAAGTTGAAAAATTCCCCAATATTTATTTACTGCAGTTGCTATGAGTGCCCTGATAGTGGTCATTTTCACAACTGGTGAAAAAGTCTCGGTATAATCAACATCAGCCTGTTGGGTATACCCTTTTACCACCAACCTGGCCTTGAATCTCTCAATACTACCATCAGCTTTGTTTTGATTTTATACACCCATCGACGGCCTATTGGCTTCTTCCCTATAGGCAAAGGAACTAAGTCCCAAGTGTGATTGGCATGGAGTGCTTCAAACTCTAGTGTCATGGCTGCTTGCTAGGCAGGGTTCAAAGCTGCTTCCTCATAAGAGTTTGGCTCACTGTCATGACAAATACTCTGCGCAAGGTGCTGACTATTCGGAACTAAAGAGTTGAAGGAAACATGATGATGTTCAGATGTAGAATGTGTATCAGGGTGTAAGTTAGGCATGGAACAGACATAATCTTTCAAATGCACAGGTAAGTGATGCTCTCTAGTGGACCTTCTAGGTACCTGATTGGTTGAGTTAGAGGTGGTGAAGGAATAACATGGGATTGCAATTGTGAGGAGTGACTGGGAGAGTGTACAACTGAACTGGTGAAGGAATAACATGGGATTGCAATTGTGAGGAGTGACTGGGAGAGTGTACAACTGAACTGTCTACAGGTGAGACTATAGTGGAGATATCATCAGTACCTGTTGATGGTTCAGGTGCATGAGGATTAGAATGTGCCTTAGTAAGTGACACATCCACTGTAAGAGGAACAGACTCAAGCACTGAGGGAAAATGAGAGGAGGAATCAGGTAAGATAGCAAAGGGGAAGATGTGCTCATAAGTAATGGAGAGTCGGTTTATAATATGAGTTGCAACCAATACACACTCACCCCAATACTGCAAGGGTAACTTGGACTGAAAAAGGAGTGCCCTGGCAGTTTCCAAAAGGTACATATGTTTTCTTTCTACTACCCCATTTTGTTGAGGAGTGTAGGGGCATGTTCTTTGATGAATAATCCCTTTGACTGAAAAAAGGATGAGGCTTCTATATTTACAAATTCTGAACCATTGTCTGATCTGAGGTACTTTACATTTGTTTTGAAGTGAGTTTCAACCAAGGATATGAACCCTTTGATGACTTGCAATGTATTGCTTTTATTGCTTAAGAGCTGGGTCCAGGTGGCCTTACTACGGTCATCCACTAAGGTGAGAAAATATTTATAGTTGTCATGGGTGGCAACATGGTAAGGTCCCCAAAGGTCTACATGAAGTAGTTCAAAGACAGAGGTTGTGGTGCTGATTCTGTGGGAAAATGCAAGTCTAGGTTGCCTAGTCATGGGACAAATGGAGCAGAGGAAAAGTTGTTTGGTTGAGAATTGGACAGGAATAGAGGATATTTCCCTCATCTTTACAAAGGGTACATGTCCCAATCTGTAATGCCACAATAAGTCAGCTTGATTCATATCAGACAAGAGATAATATGATGGAAAGCACTAAGTTTTATTACCAATGGAGATATTTACAAGTGATTGTGAATTGCAAGTGGAAACATTTACAAGTGAATCAGAATGTTGACAGTGCAAGCTATTTACATCAGAGGTTTTAGAATCAGAATGTTGACAGTGCAAGCTATTTACATTAGAGGTTTTAGACAAAGCAGAATCTGAAAAAGGTAAGGAGGCAGGTGAAGTGGAGCAGAAATTCTTCAAACAGCTTGAACATAGGAGGTATAAGCCATCCTACCTTACCAATCTCCAGAGGCCTCTTCATTGAAGGGGCCTGCAGTAGACATAGGAAGTCAAAAAAGGTAACCAAACCTTTAAATTGAGAAGCTAAAGAATGTATTGAAATAAGATTGTATTTGAAGGATGGAACATAAAGAACTCTATGCAGAGTAATGTATGATGCAGGAGTAACTGTTCCAATTTCTGTGACTTTGACTCTATAGCCGTTTGGTAAAGTAATTAACATATGATACACTAGGGTTTTAATGTGAGTGAGCAAGGATTTGTTGAAAGTCATATGATTAGAAGCCTCGGAATCCAGAATCCAAATGTCAGCCCTTGACTTAAAGCATTTACATGACAGTAATCCAAAATCAACAGAGAGAACAGATACAGAACAGGCAATAACATCTGCAAAATTCACAGCTCCACCAGTGATGTTGTTATCCGAGTTATCTCCAGCAGAGCTAGCCTGAAAGTGCTGGAGTAAAGTCACCAGTTGCCCATATTGTTCTCTAGTGAGACTTACATTGGAGTTGTTGCTTCGGGACTGTATTTCCTCACCATTCACAGGGAATGCATCAATTGGAGTACTGTGTACATTAGCCACAGTTCTTTTACCTTTATTGTACTTGGGATTGTGATTGAAGTCCAGTGGATAACCGTGGAGTTTGAAGCATTTGTCTTTGGTATGAACAGCACGCTTGTAGTGATCACAAAAAGGACGAGGTCTGTTAGTGGAGGAAAAGCTATTTGGAGAGTAATTGGTTCTGAAGTTGTTGTGCATAGGTGCCCTGTTTAAACTATTGTGTGCAGGGACATTAGCCTTCAAAGAAACAGACTTCATCACGAGCTGATTGTGTGGTTTCACTTCTCTTTGCTTTTCCTCCTGAATGAGCAAAGAAAAAGCCTGTGCCATAGAAGGTAAGGGATTCATCATGAGTATACTGTCGTGTACCGTGGTGTATACCTCATTCAATCCTATGAGAAATTGGATAAGTCTTTTGTCTTGCTCAGCTTTGTGCACATTCTCCTTAGCCCCACAGGTGCATTGGCAACTACACTACGACTTGGCATTTATCATGTTCAATTCCTCCCAAAGTTTTTTCATTTTTGTGTAGTATCCAGTAATATCAAGGACTCATTGAGTTAAATCGTTCATTTTTTTTTTTTGGATTTGATACAATTTGGTGTCGTTGGTCTAGTCGTACCTATCCTCTAACTCTCTCCGCAACTCAAAAGCATTACTAGCATATTCGACACTATCAGCAATATCTTTGCACAGAGAATTCAGGATCCATGAGGTTACCATATCATCACACCTCTCCCACTAACGAAAATGTGGGGAATCTAGGTCTGGGCGTTTGTACTCTCCAGTGATAAAACCTATTTTATTTTTGACAGAAAGAGCTCTAAGAACACTTCTCCTCCGGGATCTATATCCGATGCCGTTGAACGGAGCTGTCACTACATCGCACCAGGATTATCCGATAGGTGCATGTAGAAAGGGCAGCTCAAATTAATTTCGGAGTCGACGCCGGCGACGGGAGTTGAGTTACTCGATTCAACTCGTTCATTGTTTGGATCAAGGATAGCCATGAGAAGTAGTGTCAATTCGTTGAAAAATGAAACGAAAAGGAGAAGAAAATGATAGATCGAGAAAATTGGGGCAAAACTTGAGACCATGATTTCAGTTTTAGAACTCAATTGAGAGAGAAATCGAGGACAATAGTGAGGTGACTACTAGGCTCTGATACCATGTAAACACGGATAAGTGAAGGATGAGCAGAGCTCGAGCTTGGGCTCCAATGGTAGAACCCTAGAAGGTTCTCGAAGAGAGAGAAGAGTGAGAGAATCTGCTATGTGTGAGACATGAACTAACTGAGATGTATTAACATGTATTAACTGTCAAATAAATACATATATACAACACACGTGAGACTTCTACTATGTCTAATACTAACTCAATTAATGTAACTAACACTAACTCAATGAACTGACTACTCAAACTAACAGCTAAGCCAAGATTACATATAATTAATACAACATCTCAATAGTTCCCGAATATGAAATATTATTTAGAAAAACTTAAAAATTCTATATCTAAATATACAGTCAAAATTAAGAAGCTTGAATCTCGAAAAGCAAAAGTGTCACATAAATTGAAATAGAGGGAGTCTATAAATAACTTTAATTCTGCAAAATGAATAAAGGAGTTCTTAATATGATATTCCAGTTGCCTCTGCACTTATGTTCACTCTAATTTAGTTGCATTCTTAAATTCTTCCAAGACCAAGAAATTCCAATAAAATTGGTTTGTTCCTGTGTGAGTAAATATAGATGCAACCTGTTGTCAGCTAACATGTTAGTCTAGAATGGTTGTTTCCGGAAGAGCAAAGAGTTCTCTGTATACAATTGAACTCCCCGCCCACAAAATATATTACTCTGTGTTCCAATTTATGTGGCATTGTTTGATTAGGTATGAAATTTAAGAAAGAAAAGACTATTTTTGAATCTTGTCGTCTAAAATAAGCCATTGATCTTTCTGTGGTTATAAATTATCTCATTAGGGGTAAAATGAGAAGTTTAAAGTTAAATTGTTTCTAAATATATTACTCTATCCCATTTTATGTGGCACTGTTTGATAATAGGCAGGAGAAAGGGACCAGTCTTCACTTTGGTTTTTCTTCAATCTCTAGGAAAGCAAGAGAATGAATATCCAAGAAAAAAGGAGGAAGGAACTTTGAAGGGAAAAGGGAATTTTAACTTTATTACAATTTTGAAATTTTTTCTATCCAGTGCATTCCATGTTATAGCCTAATCCTAGCCCTAATATCCACTAAATGAATAAAAAATGGCCTTCCTCTGTATCCAACGATGGGGAATGTCCATAATATGGTGTTCCACCCTTCTTAAAGGGAACTCATTGTTTACTCCCATGATAGTGATGTGCTGTTCTTTTTGTCTCAGTTTCTGGAAGTACCATTCTTGCCTTTGTCATTTACATTGAGCGATCTGGTGATATTTTGTCGATCAGAAGTAGACATATATGAGTGAATGCCAGGAATACTGAAGTGTTTTCTCGTGTATGCAGGCCATCATCTTCTTGAACTAGAGAAAGAATTCTTGGCTGTCAGTGGATGGTTTGCTTCTGATGCCCAAGCTTACAACTTCGACACTGGAATTTATTACGTTGGATGATGAAAACCTAAACAAGGTGAACCAGTGCTTCCCATATTTGCAAGTTCTGTATCTGATTGGGGTCGAAGGACTTAAAGAACCTAAGATTCATCTCGAGCACCTCAAACATTGTCATTGGACAGTGTCAAATGGCCCACGTTCTGTGACTATAGTTGCACCCAAACTTGTCCAACTCAATCTTCGTTGTGTGAAGCCAAAGATGCTTGTTATTGATACCCCATCCCTGTCTTATCTACACCTCACTCTCCAGGGAGCATGCAGCTTCAAAGTGCAAGAGTTTCACAACTTGGATACCCTGCATCTTGAGTCACCCGACCTTGGCAACCTGCTTTGCTCATTTCAATTTGGTAGAACCGCTAACAATTTAGTGTTGGGTGCAAAAAATCGGACAGAACTATTAGGACAGATAACATTTTGCTTTGAAATGCTGTTTGTTGAATTTCCTAATGTTAAAGCTATCACTGTAGCACCTTAAGTGTGGGCAGCGTTTCAGTGGAACTTTTCTGTTGGTGATTTAGAATTAGAAGTGAGGACATATCCCAAGGGGTTGAAAGAGATTACTGCATATTTGATGATGCATAATGTTGATGTGACATTAAAATTCATTTCCCATATAGTGAATATTTGCACTAGTTTATGTGACATGGCATTGTTTATTCCCCGTGGGCTTCGCTCTAATGATGCCAGTGACTTCATAACAAAGTGCACTGCCCAATGTTCGAAGGTAAGATTGAGATGGGGAACATGGAAAGAAGGACCAAAAGACGCTTGGATTTCCGATGGCATGTAGACATTCAGACTGCCTGAAGCTTCCTTTGCAATTAGAAAGAAGATTGATTTATCTCTTTGGATGTTCAACTCTACTCGACTCGAATATTGCTTCCTTCAAGTTTAGTATAGTCTCATGGACTACGGACTACACGAAATTTAGCCTGTACTGTTAGTGCCAGGGTAAGCTTTCTGGTTGCTTGGTTTTTCGCTTGCTTCATTTGCTGCGTCTTTGCCCTTTTGGAATGATTAAAAGTTTATTTCCCGCCACAGTATTCGGCAGGCCCTTGAGAATTAGTTTAGGCGATTGGATTAAATTGCTTGGTATTACGACAGATTTTGTCTTGTGTAGATTTTTTGATTGAGCAAATGTGATGTAAATTCTATAGAATTCACAACTGATGTCCTTAGTTGTGATCGGTTTTGTGCGTCAAAATGTCACCGTTGATGCTGTGAATTTGTAACCCGAACAAGAATCTTTTGCCACTAAAATTTATTTACTGATGTAAAATTTAACAAATATAGAATTAAGTAGTGGAAGAAATGAATTGCAATTGCCTCCAGTGTTGATGATGTTCTGATAAGTTTCTTACATAAGAGAGCATTTTAGTTGATGAATCTTGGTAGTTGGTACCATTCAAATATACTTCTGCCGTTTCAATTTAGATGACATACTTTTTATAATCACTCATTTTACATGAGAGAGCATTTTATAATTTTTGATAAGTTTCTTACAAAGTTTTTATCCTTAAGCTTTTAAGACCACAAGTTTCAAAAGTTTCATTTTCTCTTAAATTTCATACCTAGTCAAACTACCTTATTTAAATTGAAACAACAAGAGTACTGCTTTTTTATGGTGCAGAAAATGAATTAAGTTTAACAATGACGGTTAATAACGATCTTTTCCTATTGCCTTCTGAGATTATTACTCTATATTTATGACGATCAAAAGAGTGTTACTTTTATGGAGCATTTAGGTGGTGAAAACTGAAAGCACATGCTTACTAGTTACTACTTTCATGCCATATCTCCATCAACTCCGTGAATATCTTTCATATTCGAGTGTTGAATGTCAATGAGGCACGGAAGGAACACCTTATTTCGGAATTGGTGTTTGATTAAGCTGGTCAGATTGGCTTATAAATACTTTTTGACTTATCTACGTGCTTGGTAAATACTCAAAGTGTGGCTTATAAGCTAAAATTAATCATAAGTCATAAGTTGGTTACCCCAAACTTATGATTTTTTTAGCTTATAAGCACTTTTAGTTTGACCAAGGCTTTTACGAGTTTATCCTTAATAATATTTTCTAATTCACAAAATATTTTTTCCAAAATAAATTTTCTAACACTCTTTTCATTCTATATTCGTTGTTCATCTTTTACTTTGCTAAAAAAACTTTTTAATTTATAATCTTTTGTAAAGTTCTTAAGGATATTTTAGTCATTTTAATAAAAGAATTACTTATCAGCTTTTTTCTACCAAACACATCAACTGCTTATTATCAGTTTCAACACGTCTATCCAAACACATAAATATTTATTTAAAAAATTAGTTTCCAACACTTAAAAATATTTTTTAGCATTCAGACTTATCAGCTATTTACAATCAGCTAATCCAAACAAACTCTTAGTTAAGGCTGTATTGTGGTCCGGGTCCGGGCCAACGGGCCGAGCCAAACGGGCATGGGCTTTAGGCAGGCCGAGTTGAGGCGGTCCCGGGCCAAACGATCCCGGACTTCACGGTTCCAATGTGTGGAACCGGCCCACGGTGGTCCTAAGCCCACATGGTCTCGGGCTAAATGGGTCGGGCCCGCGAGCCTAAAACGGTCCTAACGGGCTTTTTTCGTTCCGGGCTATTTTTTTTATATATTTTTTTTTCTAAGGCACTTTCTTGTAAACGATATATGTATATACTAGTATAAATTGCTTATATATAGCTATATAAATATATATAGTATGTATAATATGTATATATAAGGGTGTATTATGTGTATATATAATTATATATTGCCTTATGTAATATATATTGCCTTATATATATGTATGTATATATATATATATAGTTTATACGTATTAGATATATATATATGCTATTTATTTTTTTTATCTAAGGCACTTTCTTGTAAAGTGCCAAACGGTTGAATTTTGATGGCCAACTGCTAGATTTTAAAAATCGCCGTTGGGGCCTGTTGGGCCCGGTTGAACCGGCCTAGGCCCGCCTGCCGGTCCCGGGCTTAACGGTCCCAATCTCACGGTCTATTTGGGTTGGATCGGACCGCTACGGGCTTATGCATCACTAGAGACCGGGCCCGTTTGGCCCGTGGTCCTGGGCCGGGCCCAGACCACAATACAGCCTTACTCTTAGTTATTAAGGGGTCGAAAGTGAAGCGATTCCAAGAAGATTAAACTAGCTCCTTCCTCTGTTTGTTGTGTGATACTATTTTCTTAAAAGGAGAGAAGCCGTTTTATATTTTAAATTACTTTGACTTTAAGTTTTTTTATTTTTTTCTTAACGATTTTATAATCACATAAATATCATGAGTCATGTCATATAAAAAATAAAGTTCCAAAAGTCTTTAATTCTTTTTTAAATTCTATGCTCCAATTAAATAGATTCGCGTAATGAAACAGAAGGAATACCTTTTGGTAGGAAAAATAGATTTTTTGACAAGAATTGGTTAAAGAAAAAGAAAATCTAAAAATTAACATTAACAGAAAATGGGGCGTTCCAGGAATCGAACTCGGGACCTCTCGCACCCAAAGCAAGAATCATACCACTAGACCAAACGCCCAGGTTGTGTTCTTCAACCATGTACTTTAATTTAATTAGCGGTCAAACAAAATAAGAAATTGCTTTATATCGGTAAAACCCCAACATGTAAATTCGATAATGTTAGAACAATAGATTTGGAAGGTTGTGAAAAAGATCGGCTGCTTTCTCGTCAAAGAGTTTGGAATTGAAAGGAACACTCAACTTTCCAGTTCTTTACGCTCTTCCCCATTGAACGCATAATTAAAGTACGTACTCTTATCTAGTAGGTGAAGTGTAATTTTCTTTTTCTTTCTCTTTTTGGGGTGGGGGTCGGAAATTTATGGGTAGCTACTGATGGTAAGAATTCTTAGGTTTTTTGTAATACCAAGAGTAGGATAAGCCTGCTGCATTGCTAGCTTAATGAGACACTGAATGAATATCTGTTTGAGTTAACCACTTTTCAATTTTTCATGTGTTTGTTACATGCGTTCATTCTGGCTCGTGGCATCCATAATATATTCTAAGTGTATAAATTCTGAACACTCTCCTCTTATCTAAAAGAATAAAGGATTGAAAATAGTTTCAGGTTGGACTGTTGGTGATCACAACATATATACCTCATCATGATCTGAAAAAAAAGGTTGCACTGGCTAGACTGGTGCAGTTAACAGGGTCTTAAGTTTTACAAATTTGCATTCAAGAAACTGAAAGGCAAAGCTGGAATTTGTTATTTGAAAGGCAAAGCGTATTTCGGAAACAATGATGCGGGATTCTTAATTCCCTTTTGATTTGCTTTATTTAATACTGCAATTGCTTCTCATAAGCCGCGTATGATTACGTGTGTGTATATATATATATATATACACACACGTAATCATACGNGTCCATTTATTAAGAAGATCTAATTGTTGGGGCAATTCATATTCTTTTTTCCTACTGTATTTAACAGTAATCTTTTTCCTAATGATATTCATTAAGAAAATAGTGTTAAAACTAAGCACCTAATATTATTTACTCACATGGCTCTGATACCAAACTTGAACTGGATCGCTTCTGATGTGCTCCAGGAGATAAATTATAGAAACTCCAGTCCTGGCCTAGTTGATAGTAAACTGTAAACCACGGTCCTCCTCACAACTATTTCATGCCTAACCAAGCTTTAACGGGTTAATTGAGGACCACCAGTTAAGTTGCCTTAACCAAGGTTTACTATATATATATATATATGTATGTGTGTGTGTGTGTGTATTGTGTTCGATGGGCAATTTAAACAGTGTAGATCATGGTGTTTATTAGGGGCGGATGGATGGAGCATACAGCTACTCGGTTCAACTGTCGATGCCAAACATAAAATTTATATGTAAAAAATCATTAAATTCACAATAAATAGTGTATATGAATCCATAACTTTAAAATATAATAATTTTAATGCTAAAAATTTTTAATCAAATAAAATCATAGATCCGAATCGGGTGTTTATATCTATCTACCCAAGTTATCCGTGCTAACGCTTGACATATTGCTAGCCAATCATTCCCGAAAAGGAGAAACTTTTGCAGTAAGGACTTTCTCATAGTCTTCAACTTATTCACGAAACCTTTAAAATCCAAAAGGGGGCAACAAAATCGAGCATGTCACTTGTGTCATCTTGTGATCGACGTCCTGTTTCAGTGTAACATGAAGCTGTTTGAGCTGAATCACCTTTGTTTTTCTCTTATAGTTATTGGGTTGAATATTTTTCCTTTTAACATAGTCGTCAGATACTATATTTATCGTATACAT